TCATCCGAGCACTTAGGTCTTCAAGTCAGAGGCTACTAATGGTCCCACGTACTAGGTTTAAAACACGTGGGGATCTGGCTTTTCAGACACTGGCACCTAGGCTGTGGAACTCTCTGCCGTTGTCTTTACGCTATCTAGACTCTACTGACTCCTTTAAAAAGCAGCTGAAGACATTTTCATACAAATGGGCTTTTAATTAATTTTAACTTGTATGTCTGATCTATTGTAAAGCACTTTGTGATTTTTATCTGTGAAATGTGCTATATAAATAAATTTTACTTACTTATTTACTTACTTGTCCAGGTGGAAGAGGGCAGTATGCAGAGCCAGTGCTATGGCAATATGTCTGGATCTATTTGGTCAACTGAAAAGGATCGAGTGTACCAATGTATGCAAACAAACAAGAATGTGATGCAGCTTCTAAGGACAATGGATAAGTATAAACATTGGAAAGAAGAACTCATCAGTTGGTACGTTGAAGTTTCGGTTTCTTTTAGTGTCTCTTCAGATCATCTTTTCATCTGTGTAAGCAAGTGGCTGTAAAGGAACCCAGACTTTGCTTGCTCAAAACTCAGATTCTACCAAGGTAAGAATAAAAAAAAATTATGAAGAAATTCATTCGTATGCATATATTTGAGAATCAGGATACTTTATTAATCCCTAAGGGAATTATGTAACTCGGTGCCATCATGTGTGTGTAAAGCTCTTTTTAGATATTAAAAAGGCTGAATGATTGAATTCCACTGAAGATATTTAGATATTTAGTAAACATGGCTATACTAAAAAGTGTGGGTGGCAATATATGCTGCAGGATTACTTTTCATACCTGCTGAAATAAAGTGTAAAGAATGCAGTTTAGCACAGACTGTAAGTAGAAAAAGACCAAGACCCCCCATGCTTAATAACTGCAGAGATAAAAGAGCATCATATTTTACCTACGAGAGTGGACGAAATTATCTAAATTGTTGCTGTATGACAATAAAAAGTGAAAATGTCTTTTTTTTTTCTTTTTTTTGCCTGTCCCGTTTGGCTCTTTTGCCATCAGAATTGTTGTCTAAAGGCAAAGAAAGATGCCCAACGGATTTACTTTACCAAATTGACCATCCCAGCCTTGCCGTAACGATCCATTTGATTCACCTTTTATTGTTTATTTTATTTTCACTTGCTGAATACGGGACAGACTTGACTGGGGGAAAGAAGGGGAGAAAGAAAGAGGGAATGAAACAGCTGAGAAGAGGGACGGGGGAGAAGGGCAAAAAACAAAAACCAACAGAACGGGCAGAGGAAAAAAAATGCATATATCAATCACCTGGATCACCTGTTGAGAAAGAAAAAAAAAACAAGCAGAAGAGAACAAGAGTAATAGAATAAACAGCATCACAATGATATATGGGAATATGACAGTAAATACTAAATATTAAACATTATTGTGCAGCACATAAGATCAACAGAACACAGTGTGCTTTGAGGTAGGAGCCAAAAAGGGTGTAGTTTGTGGCTGTGAGCACCCGTGTGTACACCTGTGAGCATGGACGCGCTTGTTTTTTTAAAAGGTTCCTTCATGTAATGATCTGCTAGAGGGTGTGGGGGAGCCACTGCCCCGTCCTCCAGGGCATGAAGCAGGTATGGAGGAGATCAAAACTCCAGACATCCAGAGGCCCCCAGAACACAAGAGACCAAGGAAGACCAACAGAGGGGCAGCCGCGCCACTGTCCCAGAAAGAGCTGAGGAGAGTCCCAGATGAGGGCTCACTCAGCAGCCGCGGAGCAGAAGCCAGGGGGGTTGCAGTGACGCGCCCGTGAGCTCCGCCGGCAGCCAGCTGTGCCTGAGTGACCGAGCCCCAGGCCGAGAGGCCGGGGGCACCCCACCTCCGAAGTGGCCCGAGCGAGCCCCAGGCTCCAGGCCCCGATAAGCGGCCGCCAAGGAGTGAGCCGGTGTGTACCTGGACGTCCATCCCCAGACACAAAGAACCACCAACGCACCGATGTCTGAGGGGTCCGCCACTGGCAGGGGAAGTGGTGGTGGGTGGAGATAGGCCTCCAAACCTTGGAGGGCCTGAGATGTCCCCAGAGAGGTGGCGTCTGATACCCAACCTGACATATAGACACAGACATACAGGCACACACAGATACAAACATCCATTCCTCATGCTCTCATATGCACTTACTCCACACTCAACCAACGTGGAGACAGACATAAAGAGACGCTGTACACACGATCACACTCCCCAAGCGTACTCTACGAACCGGGTCTAGGTACCCTTGCCCCTGGAGGGGGGAACTGCACCCAGGATGGCATGGAGCTACCTGCCAGAGAGCAGCAAGTAAGCGCATGGTCCCTCCTGCTAGCCCTCAATGTCTACGTGTATTTAAAATTGAGAGGTGGGCAATGACGCCAGGGGTGAGGTGTACACCCTGATGGTCTTTTGGAATCCGTGTAGCGTGCCCACCCCCAAGATCCTATATGTATGTGTAATGAGAGTGTGAGTAATGTGAATGTCTAGGTTGTAGGATAAAATTGAGGCAGAGGCAGCCTGAAGGGGACGGGGGACGGACGGGGGGGGGGGGGGGGTAGCCTCCTCTGCACCCTGGTGACATACCCCTACTCCAAGGCCCTGCATGTGTGGGTGGTTGTGGTGGAGCGGGAAGAGGGAGGCAGCTGGAGATGGGGAGGGAAGGAAGGGAGGGCAAGTGTCCCCTCCTTGGGGCCAGCTCCCCCGCTGACCCCAGTAGGCACCCCCATACTCCGCGACCCGCCAGGGAAAGGGGGCCCAGGCCCATCCAGACCGGGGCCCAGTGCAGCAGCGCCGCCCGGCCCCACAGAGCCCGGGACAGTCCACCCAACCCCACCACAGAGAAAACTGCACCCACCCCACCATCCACTCATCTTCCAGACTACATAAGACAATAAACACCCAGGCTGAGATCTTCCTCCACCTCTCCTGTATCTCCCCCTCCTGCAGAGAGTTCCTGAGGAGAGGAAAGCTCCTGCAAGATGTGACAACCTCCCTCACCAGTTGAAGAGCCCCCCAGGTGGCTCGACGCACCGGCGGCACCCTGCGCCAGGGCTGGGCCCCCATGCACCCACCCGCCCACAACCCCAGCAACACACCAACCAGGACCCAAGCCCCCGAGGCCCGGCCCAGGCCCCAGCCCAGAGACAGAGCGCCCCCAGAACCTCACGCCCATCCCGGACCCACCCAGGGGCAGCCAGGCTACCAGGTCAGTAACCCACGTCCGTCAGCACAGACCCTCCCCTAGCCCCGCTGCACGCAGCCACGAGGAAACAGTCACCTGAGAGCCAAAAGAGCCCCTAACCGGACATGACCGCTACCCCGGGTTGAGCCCCCCAAGGAAGATGCCTCCGGGGAACCCCCGACGCCCTAAGCCTGTCCCTACCCCCACACCAATCACAACAGTGAAGGCGGGACCAAACTATGACCCCCCCACCGCCACTAGGTGATGGAGCTGATCAAAGGAGCCCAGAGCAATTGATCTGATGTGGTTAGGATAAAATTGAGGCAGATCTAATTTAATCTAATCTAATCTAATCTAATAGAATCTAATAGATAATTTCTATATTGGTTAGAATTAAGATTATTTTTATTTTTCCAGTTCATGAGGACTGTTTTCTTGGCTATGCATAGGGCAGTGAAAACCATATGGGCTATATTCTTTTCTGTAGTGACATTATCTAAGCTGCCCAACAAACACACTAAGGGGAAGTTGGAATGTTACATTTCAGACACTTTGATAAGTCTTCACATATCTCGCGCCAAAACTTCTGAACTGGTGGACAGAACCAAAGAGCGTGGATATAATTGCCGGTGAATTGGTTTGGCAGTGTGAGCAGTTGTTGGTAGACGTAAAGCCCATCTTGAACATCCGATGACCTGTATAGTGCACTCTATGTAATATTTTGTATTGAATTAATTGAAGACTGGGATTTCTGATTAGATGAAAGGTTTTTAAGCAAGTCTGAGACCAGAAGTTTAGGTCTAAGTTAACTGATAAATCCGCTTCCCATTTTGCAATAGGAAGTGATATTGATTCATCTGTTTTAGGAAGCATTCTGTATATTTTGGAAAGTAATTTTGGGGTTTTAAGAGTAAGAAATTGAACC